GTTGTCTTATGTTAATAGTAATCAGTTTTAGTTGTCTGATGTTAAATGTAATCAGTTTTAGTTGGCTGATGTCAAATGTAATCAGTTTTATGTAGCTGATGTCAAAAGTAATCAGTTTTAGTTGGCTGACGTCAAATGTAATTTGTTTAAGTTCTCTGATGTCAAATGTAATCATCTTTAGTCGAATTCGTCCATTTATTACCGAAGAAGCATGCAAAACGTTAGTATGCTCTCTTGTTACCTCTCGTTTGGATTATGGGAACACATTACTGTATGGACTCCCAGCAACATCTATTCAAAGAATACAGCGAGTCGAAAACACAGCAGCCAGGGCCTTACAAGGAAGAGGAAGTACGACCACATCACACCAATCCTGAAGTCTCTCCATTGGCTGCCCGTAGCGTATCGATACCAGTATAAACTTCTTTTGTATGTGTTCAAGGCTTTGCACGAGGAGGCACCGGTCTTCCTACAAGAACTCGTTCATATATACAAACCAATGCGAGCACTTAGATCTGAAAATGCCATGATCTTAACAACGCCATGTGTAAGAACTAAAACATATGGGGAAAGAAGATTCGACAAAGCAGCAGCCGTTCTGTGGAATGATTTGCAAAGTGATCTACGAAACATCCATTCTGTGAATGTTTTTAAGAAAAACCTGAAAACTCATTTATTCAGACATGCTTTTCATAGTTCTTAAAATATTTCTATATCATTGTAATATTTGAATTTTTCAGCAATTATTTTTTGAATTTTTAACTTACTTTTATTGTTAATTTTTAATTTTTTAACAAATATTTTTGAAGTTTTAACTTACTTTTATTGGTACGGTTTTAATATCTCCTTAGTTTTACCATGCCCATTTTATATAAATTTAATTGTTTATCAGTAAATTTAATAGTATAGTTTTATATGCAATATTTTTAAAATCTGTTTGTTTTAGGATTTCATAACATGGGCTTTCATATTTTATTGTTAATACTTATATATGTGAATGGATATATGTTGTAAAGCGCTTAGGGTAATTTTAATATTATATAATACACTGTTATAAATACTGTATAATAATAGTAATAATTAAGTTGGCTAAAGTCAATTGTAATCCGTTTTAGTTGTCTGCTGTTCAATGTGATCAGTCAGTTGTCTGATGTTAAAAGTAATCAGTTTCAGTTGTCTGATGTCAAATGTAACCAGTTTTAGTAGTCTTATGTTAAATGTAGTCAGTTTTAGTTGTTTGATGTCAAATGTAATCAGTTTCGATTGTCTGAATTTAAATGTAATCAGTTTCAGTTGTCTGAAGTCAAATGTTATCAGTTTAGTTGTTTGATGTTAAATATAGTCAGTTTCAGTTGTTTGATGTAAAATGCAGTCAGTTTTAGTTGTCTCGAGTTAAATGTTATCACTTTCAGTTGTTTGATGTCAGATGTAATCAATTTCAGTTGTCTTATGTTAAATGTAACCAGTTTTAATTGTCTGAAGTCAGATGTTATCAATGTTAAATGTAATCACTTTCAGTTGTTTGATGTCAGATGTAATCACTTTCATTTGTCTAATGTTAAATGTTATCAGTTTCAGTTGTTTGATGTTAGATGTAACCAGTTTCAGTTGTCTGATGTCAAATGTTATCAGTTTCAGTTGTTTGAATGCAAATGTAGTCACATTTAGTTGTGTGATGTTAGAAATAATCAGGTTTGGTTGTTTGATATTAATTGTGATTAGTTTCAGTTGTCTGAATTTAAATGTAATCAGTTTCAGTTGTCTGAGGTAAAATGTAATCAGTTAAGTTGTCTGATGTTAAATGTAGTCAGTTTCAGTTGTTTGATGTCAAATGAAGTCAGTTTCATTTGTATGAAGTTAAATGTAATCAGTTTCAGTTGTCTGAATTTAAATGTAATGAGTTTCAGTTGTCTGAAGTTAAATGTAATCAGTTTTACTTGTTTGATGTCAAATATAGTCAGTTTTAGTTGTTTGATGTTAAAAGTAATCAGTTTTGGTTGTTTGATATTAATTGTGATCAGTTTCAGGTGTCTGAGTTTAAATGTTATCAGTTTCAGTTGTCTGAGGTAAAATGTAATCAGTTTAGTTGTCTGATGTTAAATGTAGTCAGTTTCAGTTGTTTGATGTCAAATGTAGTCAGTTTCAGTTGTCTGAAGTTAAATGTAATCACTTTCAGTTATTTGATGTCAAATGTAGTCAGTTTTAGTTGTCTGATGTTTAAAGTAATCAGATTTGGTTGTTTGATATTGATTGTGATCAGTTTCAGTTGTCTGAATTGAAATGTAATCAGTTTCAGTTGTCTGAATTGAAATGTAATCAGTTTCAGTTGTCTGAAGTCAAATGTTATCAGTTTCAGTTGTCTGAAGTTAAGTGTAATCAGTTTTATTTATCTGATGTTAAATATTGTCAGTTTCAGTTGTTTGATGTGAAATGTAATCAGTTTCACTTGTTTGATGTCAGATGTAATCAGTTTTAGTTGTTTGATGTTAAATGTAACCAGTTTTAGTTGTCTGATGTTTAATGTCATCAGTTTCAGTTGTTTGATGTTAAATGTAATCAGTTTCAGTTGTCTGATGTTAAATGTCATCAGTTTCAGTTGTTTGATGACAAATGTTACCAGGTTTAGTTTTCTAATGTTGATAGTAATCAATTTTAGTTGTCTGATGTTAAAAGTAAACAGTTCTGGTTATTTGATGTTTAAAATAATAAGTTTCAGTTGTCTGATGTTAAATGTAATGGATTTTGGTTGTTTGATGTCAAATGTAATCAATTTAAGTTGTCTGATGTTCATAGTAATCAGTTTCAGTTGTCTGATGTCAAATGTAACCAGTTTCAGTTGTCTGATGTTAAATGTCATCAGTTTCAGTAGTCTGATATCAAAGGTAACCAGTTTCAGTTGTCTGATGTTAAATGTCATCAGTTTCAGTTGTTTGATGTCAAATGTTATCAGTTTCAGTTGTCTTAAGTTAAATGTAATCAGTTTTAGTTGTCTGGTGTCAAATGTAATCAGTTTCAGTTGTCTGATGTTAAATGTCATCAGTTTGAGTTGTCTGATGTTAAAAGTAATCAGTTCTGGTTATTTGATGTTTAATGTGATAAGTTTCAGTTGTCTGATGTGATGTTAAATATAATCAATTTTGGTTGTTTGATGTCAAATATAATCAATTTAAATTGTCTGATGTTAATAGTAATCAGTTTCAGTTGTCTGATGTTAAATGTCATCAGTGTGAGTTGTCTGATGTCAAATGTAATCAATTTAAGTTGTCTTATGTTGATAGTAATCAATTTTAGTTGTCTGATGTTAAAAGTAATCAGTTCTGGTTATTTGATGTTTAATGTAATAAGTTTCAGTTGTCTGATGTTAAATGTAATGGATTTTGGTTGTTTGATGTCAAATGTAATCAATTTTACTTGTCAAAAGTTAAATGTAATCAGTTTTAAATTTTATCAGTTTCAATTGTCAGATGTTAAATTAATCAGTTTCAGTTGTCTTATGTCAACTGTAACCAGTTTTAGTTGTCTGATGTTAAATGTCATCAGTTTTAGTTGTTTGATGTCAAATGTAACCAGTTTCAGTTGTCTGATGTTAAATGTCATCAGTTTCAGTTGTTTGATGTCAAATGTTATCAGTTTCAATTGTCTTAAGTTAAATGTAACCAGTTTTAGTTGTCTGGTGTCAAATGTAATCAGTTTCAGTTGTCTGATGTTAAATGTCATCAGTTTGAGTTGTCTGATGTTAAAAGTAATCAGTTCTGGTTATTTGATGTTTAATGTGATAAGTTTCAGTTGTCTGATGTGATGTTAAATATAATCAATTTTGGTTGTTTGATGTCAGATATAATCAATTTAAATTGTCTGATGTTAATAGTAATCAGTTTCAGTTGTCTGATGTTAAATGTCATCAGTGTGAGTTGTCTGATGTCAAATGTAATCAATTTAAGTTGTCTTATGTTGATAGTAATCAATTTTAGTTGTCTGGTGTTAAAAGTAATCAGTTCTGGTTATTTGATGTTTAATGTAATAAGTTTCAGTTGTCTGATGTTAAATGTAATGGATTTTGGTTGTTTGATGTTAAATGTAATCAGTTTTACTTGTCAAAAGTTAAATGTAATCAGTTTTAAATTTTATCAGTTTCAATTGTCAGATGTTAAATTAATCAGTTTCAGTTGTCTTATGTCAACTGTAACCAGTTTTATTTGTCTGATGTTAAATGTCATCAGTTTTAGTTGTTTGATGTCAAATGTAACCAGTTTCAGTTGTCTGATGTTAAATGTCATCAGTTTCAGTTGTTTGATGTCAAATGTTACCAGTTTTAGTTGTCTGATGTTAAATGTCATCAGTTTTAGTTGTTTGATGTCAAATGTAATCAGTTTTAGTTGTCTGATGTCAAATGTTACCAGTTTTAGTTGTCTGATGTTAAATGTCATCAGTTTTAGTTGTTTGATGTCAAATGTAATCAGTTTTAGTTGTTTGATGTCAAATGTTACCAGTTTTAGTTGTCTGATGTTCAATGTCATCAGTTTTAGTTGTTTGATGTCAAATGTTACCAGTTTTAGTTGTCTGATGTTCAATGTAGTCAGTTTCAGTTGTCTGATGTCAACTGTAATCAGTTTCAGTTGTTTGAAGTTAAATGTAATCAGTTTCAGTTGTCTGATGTCAAATGTAACCAGTTTCAGTTATCTGATGTTATAAAATGTAACCAATTTAAATTGTCATATGTTGAAAGTAATCAATTTTAGTTGTCTGATGTTAAATGTAATCAGTTTTAGATGCCTGATGGAAATGTAATCAGTATCAAATGCCTGGTTAAAAATGTAATAAGTTTTTGACAGTTGATGTATTTTGAATTAATATGGGATACCATGATTCAACCATGTCACCAGTATCAGATTCCTGAGGTCATATGTAATTGATATATATATATATATATCATATTTTTGACTACTTCATGAGAATTTCTAGATATATATTTTCAAATAGTCTATATGTTCTTATTCCAGAACAAGACGAGAAAGAAACTGAACAGGAGGAAGTTATCCCAAGGAATATAAGAGGTATATTATTAGATCATGTATTGATGACAACTTCTAACTTGAGAATAAAAATGACAGCTCCCCTGCAACCTTTACACAGGGTTGTAGGAAATGGTTTAAACAAGTTTTTCGTTATAATACACTATTTTATATTGTAGATGGTAGAATAGAGACAAAAGATACTAAAGAGATATTCAAAACCATAAGTCGAAAAATAATCTGACAATGCCATGGCAAAAAAAAAAAACAATGAGAAGACGAACACCAGTACACACAACTTAGCATAAAAAACTAAAAACTGAACAAAACAAACCCCACAAAAAACCAGTGGTGATTTCATGTGCTCTGGAAGAGTTGATGAATCCTGCTCCGCATGTGGCACCCTTCATGTTGCTCATGTAATGTGGATTCATTATTATATTTTTGGATGCCAATTTTGTGGATATCATGTGTAGCCATTGTCAAAACCAAGAAATCAAATATCCACGAAAATGCATTTTTCTCAATCCACGAAAATTTATACACACAGTAGGTACAAACCTATTGATAAGTCTTATTCGGGAAAAGAGGACAGGATTGTGGTCACATCTGGCGTCTTCTGTGAAACAAATATTCTGTAATGATCAACCAACTCGTGATGGCATCTGCAGAAGCTTTAACCATATTTTGTAGGTATTGATGTGTCCTAAGGTCTTCCTCACCCTCATGGTGAAGAAGATCCCTATTGGTTTTTTTTCAATACTGTGGATTCATTATTATTCGTTTGATACCAAATTTCGTTGATTTCGTGGGTATAGGTGAACCACGAATTTAAATGTTCAACGAATCCAAAATTGCTATAAGCTTGTATGCAGACTTTGTCAAAACCACGAAATCAAATATCAAGGAAAATGCAACTTTTCCTCAATCCACGAAAATTGATTCCCACAAAAATAAGTGATTCCACAGTAGGTCAAAGGTCAAGATCATAAATGAATAAAATTCTGGCAACATTCTGATTTCTGGATGGCTAAATTTAAATTATCAGTTGACTCCTTGTATGGGTTATTACTCTTGAATGTATATTTATTAATTTATTTTATTTTTCCCGAAAACCTTTCATAGTAGATCTGTAAATAGCAAAAATAATCAGTAAAATAAGATCCACCAATAAGTTGAATTGACTGAACTTGTCAGTTGACCCCCAATGTTTTGTGCTTTTGTCCTATTATCATTTTATCTATAATGGATAAACTTAAATTTTTAATGATAAAATAATCAGCAACACAAATTCAACATATATGTCAATATGGATGAAATCGTCATTCTCCTAATTTTTTTAAGTGTGTCTTATTGTCTTAAAACTGGTATGGATAGGTGATGGGTGATACAGGCTGTGTTTTTTATCCAGGTGTGGAACAATTATTTCTTTTTATATCCAGACTTTCAGGTTGAGATCTGTGTTATTATTTGACATAGGATAATAATGTAAGCATGTGTGACTTTACCCTGATATCTGGTCACTTTCTAAGTCACCGAACTCGGAGCTGATTTTTATCTTTCAGTGATTCTCATAATGTTTAAGATAATATCAGTGTTTCAAAATATATTTTTTTGCTTAGTCTTTAATTTTCAGTGGTGTAGGTGTTTCGAAGATGGGAAATCTCCATTTATCTCTGTTTGCAACTTTAATGTAATAATAATAGATTGTTGAATTGAAATATTTTTTTTTATTAATTATACACTAATATATTTTTCAGAGCAGATAAAAGAACAATTAGAAGACTGGGAAAAGAAAGATAAGATGTTTGTCTCTACCAGAGCCAGTAATTATGTCATGGAATGTGTACAGGACAACAATTGTGTGACTTTAACTGCCCCAGCAGGAGTTGGAAAATCTTTTATCTGTAGACATACAGCACTTGTTTTACAGAAGAAAGGATACAAAATAATACTGGTGTATGCCCCAACAGATATAAGAGATTATTATCAGCCTGGTAAACAGACAGTCTTCATTGTAGATGATATTTGTGGAAATTACACTGCTAACCAACAACAGATTGATAACTGGAAACAACTGTTACCTGTGATTAACAAGATTATTGCAGACAAATGTTGTAAGATTATTGTATCTTGTAGGTTACAAGTTTATAAGGATGAGAAGTTTAAGATATTACCACCATTTAAATCTTGTGAATGTAACTTGATATCAGATGAATTATGTCTTACATCTGATGAGAAAACAACTATAGCAAAAACATATATTAGTACAAATGTAAAAGATATTGATGATTTATCGCAAAATAGTGATTTTTTTCCACTTTTATGCTCCTTATATGTTGAAACAAAGAATTCAGATATGAAAGAATTTTTCAGAAATCCATTTGTTGTCTATAAAGATGAGCTAGACAAGTTAAGTGAGGCTGGCGATGAAGGGAACTATAAAATATGTAGTCTTGCTTTATGTGTTCTCTTTAATAATCAGCTAGAAGAAAAATGGTTTCAGGGTAAAGTAACTGATGAACAACGACAGATCATAAATGACACATGTGAGGCTTGTGAATTCATTGGTATACCAAAGGCAAAACTAAAGAAAGCACTTGACACCCTAGATGGTACATTTATATGTAAACAGAATGGTATTTATAGAACTGTACATGATAAACTGTTTGACTTCCTTGCTCATTACTTTGGTCAGAAAATGATTGAATGTTTAATAGATCATGGTGATAGTGGTTTACTGCATGAACGCTTTATGTGGAGAAAATCACCAGATGACATGGACAGTAACATAGACTTCATCATTGAAATAAAAGATGATGATTTAAAATCATATTTAGAAAGGTTTATTAAGGACTGGTCAGCAGGAAAGGTGTCAGATGTGTTTGATAACACTAATATGAAGGTATCATCATTCAGACAACAGTTATTACAGTACTTATTACAACTGGACAAATCACAACAAGTAACATTAGCCCACACCAGGGATACAGTGAGACCAAAGGAGGAGTTTGGATCAGGTAATACTCCACTAATAGATACTTGTTATGAAGGTTATCATGATATGGTACAGTGGATACTACATAATGATGTGGATGCGAATAAGTGTAAAGATGATGGGAATACTGGACTGATCATGGCAAGTCAGGAAGGACATACTGAAATAGTAAAGTTACTATTAGAGATGAATCCTAATGTTGATCTATGTAGCAACAATGGCTGGAGTCCTCTGAATACAGCAAGTCAGGAAGGACATACTGACATAGTAAAGTTACTATTAGAGAAGAATCCTAATGTTGATCTATGTAACAACAATGGCTGGAGTCCTCTGAATAAAGCAAGTCTGAAAGGACATACTGAAATAGTAAAGTTACTATTAGAGAAGAATCCTAATGTTGATCTATGTAACAATAATGGCTGGAGTCCTCTGTATACAGCAAGTGATGAAGGACATACTGAAATAGTAAAGTTACTATTAGAGAAGAATCCTAATGTTGATCTATGTAACAATAATGGCTGGAGTCCTCTGAATACAGCAAGTAATGAAGGACATACTGATATAGTAAAGTTACTATTAGAGAAGAATCCTAATGTTGATCTATGTAACAACAATGGCTGGAGTCCTCTGAATAAAGCAAGTAATGAAGGACATACTGAAATAGTAAAGTTACTATTAGAGAAGAATCCTAATGTTGATCTATGTAACAATGATGGCTGGAGTCCTCTGAATACAGCAAGTCTGAAAGGACATACTGAATTGGTAAAGTTACTATTAGAGAAGAATCCTAATGTTGATCTATGTAACAATGATGGCTGGAGTCCTCTGAATACAGCAAGTCTGAAAGGACATACTGAAATAGTAAAGTTACTATTAGAGAAGAATCCTAATGTTGATCTATGTAACAACAATTGCTGGAGTCCTCTGAATACAGCAAGTAATGAAGGACATACTGAAATAGTAAAGTTACTATTAGAGAAGAATCCTAATGTTGATCTATGTAACAATGATGGCTGGAGTCCTCTGAATACAGCAAGTGATGAAGGACATACTGAAATAGTAAAGTTACTATTAGAGAAGAATCCTAATGTTGATCTATGTAACAACAATGGCTGGAGTCCTCTGAATACAGCAAGTCAGGAAGGACATACTGACATAGTAAAGTTACTATTAGAGAAGAATCCTAATGTTGATCTATGTAACAACAATGGCTGGAGTCCTCTGAATAAAGCAAGTAATGAAGGACATACTGAAATAGTAAAGTTACTATTAGAGAAGAATCCTAATGTTGATCTATGTAACAATGATGGCTGGAGTCCTCTGAATACAGCAAGTCTGAAAGGACATACTGACATAGTAAAGTTACTATTAGAGAAGAATCCTAATGTTGATCTATGTAACAACAATGGCTTTACACCATTGATCTCCTCGTGTATCAATAACCACACCAGTATAGTCCAGCTATTAATTAAACATAAACCAAACATTAATGCCCAGACCTATGATGGTGGTAATGCTTTATATTTCAGTGCATTTAATGGAAACCTAGAGATAACACAGTTACTGTTAGAGAACAATGCTGACTGTAATATCTGTATCCATAGTAAACAGTCTATATTAGATATATTAAATAACCATCCAAGTAAAACATTGGACGAAGTAAAAAAAGAATTATTTGATAGCCTGGTAAAGAATACATCTTCACATGTAACAGATTATGTCAGTAAGAAGTCAGTAGATTATGCCTTTGATGTAGTAGCTGGTTCTTCTCCTTTACACATAGCCAGTTATAAGGGTAGGACAGATGTAGTCAATTGTCTTCTTGACCACAATGCTAACATCAACATGACAAAAGAAGATGGAACAACACCATTATTTTATGCATGTGAAGTAGGACATGAGGATATTGTACGTTTATTGTTAGATAAAGGTGCAGATACACAGATATGTAGACTTGATGGGAAATCCCCTTTAAAGATTGCAACAGATAATGGACATACATCTATAGTAATGATGGTAACAAATCACACAAAGCAAGAGGACAAACATTCTTCTTAACTCTTGTTCTGTGGTCAGTGGTTTGTTAAACTCTTGTGCACTGGTATGATCTGGTGTTTGTTTAATAGGTTTGATGTCTACTTCTACTCATTTCATTACTCTTTCTCTAATTTTACAAAGCACATGCAGCCCTAAGCTTTACATTACATGAATATTATTGATGTTTTCACCAGGAACAGAAGATATCTATTTGATGTAGATGCAGTAAAAGATGCCAATGAATGAAATTGTACCACACTAAGTATATATTGTAATTCTAACATAACTTTGTAGTTGTCAATTACTTCATTGTTTCTTAAGTCACAATACTTTCTAATTGCCAAGTTAGATCAGTTTTAGTCATTATAATTTTTAATGCAATTTATACTGAAGGTTCTAAATTGTATTGATTATGACATACCATAAGAGGGGGGGGGGGGGGGGTCTCAACATACAAATTTGGGTACAAATGTCAGGATAAAAAAACACCCCTATTATATATTCAATTTAATTCAAATCAAAATAATTGTCATATAAATCATTTTATATATGATGTGTGACTAAATTGCTTACATCCAATTCATTTGACCTTTGGTAAATAGTTGTCTCATTGGCAATCATAACACATCTCCTTATTTTTACTTTGGTGGATACTTGTCTCATTATGCAATCATACCACATCTCCTTATTCTTACTTTGGTGGATAGTTGTCTCATTGGCAAGCATAACACATCTCCTTATTCTTACTTTGGTGGAAAATTGTCTCATTGGCAATCATACCACATCTCCTTATTATTACTTTGGTGGATTGTCGTCTCATTGGCAATCATACCACATCTCCTTATTTTTACTTTGTTGGATAGTCGTCTCATTGGCAATCATAACACATCTCCTTATTTTTACTTTGGTGGAAAGTTGTCTCATTGGCCATCATACCACATCACCTTATTTTTACTTTGGTAGATAGTCGTCTCATTGGCAATCATACCACATCTCCTTATTTTTACTTTGGTGGAAAGTTGTCTCATTGGCCATTATACCACATCTCCTTATTTTTACTTTGGTGGATAGTCGTCTCATTGGTAATCATACCACATCTCCTTACTTTTACTTTGGTGGATAGTCGTCTCATTGGCAATCATACCACATCTCCTTACTTTTACTTTGGTGGATAGTTGTCTCATTGGCAATCATAACCTCATCTCCTTATTTTTACTTTGGTGGAAAGTTGTCTCATTGGCCATCATACCACATCTCCTTATTTTTACTTTGGTTGATAGTCGTCTCATTGGCAATCATACCGCATCTCCTTATTTTTACTTTGGTGGATAGTTGTCTTATTGGCAATCATACCACATCTCCTTATTTTTACTTTGGTGGATAGTTGTCTCATTGGCAATCATAACACATCTCCTTATTTTTACTTTGGTGGATAGTTGTCTCATTGGCAATTATAACACATCTCCTTATTCTTACTTTGTTGGATAGTTGTCTCATTGGCAATCATAACCTCATCTCCTTATTCTTACTTTGGTGGATAGTATTCTCATTGGCAATCATTCCACATCTCCTTATTTTTACTTTGGTGGATAGTTGTCTCATTGGCAATCATAACACATCTCCTTATTTTTACTTTGGTGGATAGTCGTCTCATTGGCAATCATAACACATTTCCTTATTTTTACTTTGGTGGATAGTCGTCTCATTGGCAATCATACCGCATATCCTTATTCTTACTTTGGTGGATAGTCGTCTCATTGGCAATCATAACACATCTCCTTATTTTTACTTTGGTGGATAGTCGTCTCATTGGCAATCATAACACATCTCCTTATTTTTACTTTGGTGGATAGTCGTCTCATTGGCAATCATACCACATCTCCTTATTTTTACTTTGGTGGATAGTCATCTCATTGGCAATCATAACACATCTCTCAATGGTTATCTGTATAAAATGTATATATTAAGCTATAATACTATTAAACTACAACAAGTCTTTACTATTTTGTGTAAAACTAAGCTTGAAAAATCATATTGCCCAGTATTGCCTAGTATTACCGTTTCTAGGAGTATTGCCCAGCCTGGGAAAACCTGGACCCTGGTAATACTTTTCTAACGACATGGGATCATTCTTATTATTTGATAAAAAGATCAGAATACAGGTTTCATAGAATTCTTAGCAGAACAAAAATGGCAGAAGATAAACACTTATAACCCATTGACATATATATTTCTATCCATTTTATCTTACATCTGTGAAATTGGACCCCATTGATATATTTGTCATACCCAAAAGTGATCAATGCCAGCGTCTATGTTTACCTTTATATTGGAAGAGCCCTCCTGTGTATAGAAATTATGAATTACTGTTTTATGTTTATTGCTACAGAATGTTGGTTCATGTTTCTACTCTCTGTAGGTATTTCTTCATATACACTGTACATGTATATACTTATATGTATATATGAGACTAATGCTTATATTTAGATTTCTGGCCTTGCGGTATGATTTTTATACTCGGGCTCGGAAATCAACAAATCAAATCCCTTGCTTTGCAATTGGTTTTTCCAGCACAAATTTCTTACTCTTAGTACTGAGTCAAGTTTTATGGTGGAAAGCCTTTGTTTGGTTGTGTTGTGTTATTGGAATACTGTTTGAATATCATATGTGATAGGTCTCTTTGTTTTATAATGTCATTGTATTATTTGTTTTATTTCTTTGCTCTGCTGATTCCTGTTTTCTTCTCGACATTTATTACATAATAATTGTGTTTAGACAGTCATTTTATAAGATAAACTAAACTCAAATACATTTGCTCAGTTCCAAACAGCAATCAAACTCATGTTTTCCTACGTGTATATATACTGTACAGTATTCAGTGTTATACAATTACCCTAGCTGTAAAAAAGCTGCGTACCAGAGTTCTACAAAGATGTGAAAAAAGTTAAACGGAGATGACAAAATATCTTGAAAAGTGTCTTTAAACAAGCATGTCAACAAACCCTTAAGACTAGAATTTGTGAGTACTCAACCTTTAAGGTCATTGATTTAACCAGTGGAAGAACATGTATGCAATAGTATTTTTTTTTTGACATATCAGTGATTCACACTGTTATGCAATGGTATTGATTTTTTTGGTTTTTGACATATCAGTGATTCACAATGTTATGCAATGGTATTGATTTTTTGGTTTTTGACATATCAGTGATTCACAATGTTATGCAATGGTATTGATTTTTTTGGTCTTTGACATATCAGTGATTCACAATGTTATGCAATGGTATTGATTTTTTTGGTCTTTGACATATCAGTGATTCACAATGTTATGCAATGGTATTGATTTTTTTGGTTTTTGACATATCAGTGATTCACAATGTTATGCAATGGTATTGATTTTTTTGGTCTTTGACATATCAGTGATTCACAATGTTATGCAATGGTATTGATTTTTTTGTTCTATTACATATCAGTATATCAGTGATTCACAATGTTATGCAATGGTATTGTTTTTTTTGTTTTCTTTTTGACATATCAGTGATTCACAATGTTATGTAATGGTATTGATTTTTTTCTTTTTGACATATCAGTGATTCACTGTATGTTTTTTGTCTTATGATATAGAAATGTAGCATAGCAGAGACGGGTTTGTGTCAGTGTTAACCTTTGTATAAACTATCTTTTATTCTAGAAGGTAGCTGAGCTTAATAAAACAAATTTTTTAATTATAATTGAAATTTTGAAGGTTCGATGACTTTTTTTATGGCAAATATTTAAAATGTAATGTTTATTGAATTTAAGATATTTATTCAAAATTGTTCATTTGTCAATGCTGTAATTACTGTTTGAATTTTTAAAGACACACATTACCTATTTGAGGCTATAATTTGATTTGTTTTCCCTGTGTTTAAATATGTTGTAAATAATATATGATGTTTATACATTTGCATAGTAGGAGAAATACAAATGTATCTATATATTGCTGCTGTAAATCATATATTTTTTTTAAACATTTTGTAGAATTGAAGGAATATTTAAAGGAAAGAATTATAGTGATATGAAATAACCATACATTCCAAGGAAAATACATTTTTTATCAAGTCTTAAGATACAGGAAAAAATTTGATAGGGCATAATTTTTTATACGACCGCAAAAAATTTTTGCGTTCGTATATTGGTATGACGTTGGCGTCGTCGTCGTCGTTGTCTGAAGACACATTGGTTTTTGCACTCTAACTTTAGTTTAAGGATGTTCGCTCCTCTTGTTTTTGAATTTTTGCCAGATATTCGGAATCCTCTGGTTTTATCCATGAAGTGCCATTAAAAATTTTGCCCACTAACCCCTACTTTTCTTTCCATAATTTGATAACGTATAGTTTAAAATGTCATCTTTGAAAATCTTATAAAATCCTTGTTATTTTTTCATTGTTTTTGAAAGAAAAAAGGTGCTAATGTTAAATGTATGAAAAATCTAGAGAGAATTATTTCCCGCCAAATTTTCAATGGCTTATATCTCAAAAACAAGCACACGGACCCTTCATTTTTTTCTGCTTTTTTAGTTTCTTTATTTATATACTATCAATTTATAACAGTCTTTTAAAAAGCTTGTTATTTTGAAACAGGGTAGCGAACATCCTTAAGTGAATGGATCTCTATGAAATTTTACCATAAGGTTCAATACCACAAAAGGAAGGTTGGGATTGATTTTGGGGGTTATGGTACCAACAGTTAAGGAATTAGGGGCCAAAAAGGGGCCACAAATAAGCATTTTTGTAACTTCCAGACATTACTTGTGTGTTAGTGTATGTATCTCTCTGACATTGTACCACAAGGTTCCATATCACACAGGGAATGCTGGGATTGATTTTGGGGGTAATTGCCTCAAAATATCAGGAATTAGGGGCCAAAAAAGGGGCAAAAAACAAGCATTTTTCTAGTTTCATGACAATAACTTGTGTGTAAGTGTATGGATCTTTCTGAAATTGTAATACAAGGTTCCATATCACAAAGGGAAAGCTGGAATTGAGTTTGGGGGTAATTGCCCAAAACGTTTAGGAATAAGGGGCCAAAAATAAGCATTTTTCTAGTTTCCAGACAATAACTTGTGTTCAAGTGTATGGATCTCTCTGAAATTGTACCACAAGGTTCCATATCACACAGGGAATGCTGGGATTGATTTTGGGGGCAATTGCCTCAAAATATTAGGAATTAGGGGCCAAAAAAGGGGCAAAAAACAAGCATTTTTCTAGTTTCATGACAATAACTTGTGTGTAAGTGTATGGATCTTTCTGAAATTGTACTACAAGGTTCCATATCACAAAGGGAAAGCTGGAATTGAGTTTGGGGGTAATTGCCCAAAACGTTTAGGAAAAAGGGGCCAAAAATAAGCATTTTTCTAGTTTCCAGACAATAACTTGTGTTCAAGTGTA